GGATAAAGAAAGATCAAAGAAAATTTTTCTCGGAACGTTTTCCGGTGAATGAAAATGTCACCATTGGACTCAGAATTAAATTCTGCATCGAATACACTCGGTTTTATCGACCGGAATTCGTTTTCAGAAAATCCTTAGTTTGATGGCGCTAGCTTCACACCGATAAATTATATCTCTTTATTTTTCATTTGCTTCTGTTGATATAATAACATGATTTTAAATATAATGTAGTACTATGCCCTTTTGAAGAACAATAGAAGTCGAAAAAACTTAGCCATTTCTCAAATGTGATTCCGTCATGACAGTGTTTCTTGTTTATAAAACGAAGATAGCTTTTTCTCAGAAGTTTGTTTTATTATACAAATATAATGTCATCATGGCTAAAACTTTTCTATAGAAAGTTTCTTCCTCACGCTTATCGTTGAGCTAAGTTTTCTATTTCTTTTCATAGCTCTCGGTATACAGTTCCGTTTTTTGTAATTCCATCACGCACTTATATTTTAATGATAAAACGAAGACAAAAATGTCTATACTTACGAAATCTTGTGTACATGTAAAGGAATTAGGCCTACATAATTTATCAACGTTTCGTGACTTATTGGACTTCTGTGGGTTTAGATATTAAAAAATTAATGTGAAAAAATATGATTCCGTCACGCTGGGACAGGCCGTGAAGGTATATCAATTCTATAAAAATATACAAAATAGGTGTTTTCATTGCATATCAATCACACGTTTGAATTAAAAAAGACTTGAAATACTTTTAGTGCTAAAATACGAAAAACTTCGTTTTTTGCAATTCTGAACCATAGTTTTTTAAAAGCTTTTCTCTCTGCCAAATCAGAAAAAAAAACATTCAATGATCGATTGTTACATGATAACGGTGGCTAGAATCAAGACTCCTCTTTTAGATTATTTATTATTTTCAACCATGAGTTTTAACAACAAAATAATTTTACAAAACAACGATTACAAATCAAAACCCATGTGATCACAAGAAAAGTTTCAATTAACAATATAAAATTTTTGTACTCGATGATTAAAATAATCAGTAACATAAAGATTGCCTTGTTTATCGAATGTAATATCTTCGGGAGTGTGAAATTGATTTGATTTGTTTCCCACTCCATTTCCACCAAAAAGAATAATTTCTTGCCGAGATCCTTGAGAAAATCGCATCACTCGATGATTTTCTTGATCAACTACATATATATTATTTAAATTATCGATCATTAACCCTTTAGGTGATCTTAGTTGTGTAGATTTATCTCCTTTGTCGTGTCCCCCAACAATGACTACTCCTTGTTTTGCATCTTTTACCCATTTCATCACGCGATGATTATCCGTATCCGATACATAAATTGAATAATCCTGATCAACGAAGAAATATGTAGGCGAATTCAACTGATCCAAGTTATTTCCACGTCCATGTCCACCGGCAACTATTTGTGTACTCGATTCTCGTTCATTCCATCGTGTTATAACCCCATGCCAGTGGTCCGATATATAAATAGTTCCATCGCTATCAATCGCTAGATTAAGGCAAAAATCTTTTAAGATAATTGTAGGGTGAGTCTCCGAATTATGATGTAAAAACACTCTTATCAATCGACTGTTTACAGCATCGCAAATAATGAGAGTATTTTTCTTCCTGTCAATCACCACATCTGTTGGATAATCTAACTGATCTGTTCCGTTTCCCCTTCCATTACCGCCTGCAATAACTTGACCAATTGTTGCATTCAATTTCCACTTGACAACGCGGTGAAACCCGTGATCAGCAATATAAAGTGTAAAGTCATCATCAATATCGATACCTCGAGGAAGATTAACTTGGCCTAACGATCCATTTTGTTCATTACATCCAGCAACTCTAATTCCATCTTGTTTCCATACAGTACTAACATTTACTAAGATAAAAAATGAGGAAACCTCGGGTTTTATCTGAAAGCTATGTACACTCTGAAAAGTGTACGAGATCTAAGCTACAGAGCACTTTAAGTTTCGTATCAAGGTTTTACAATGATTAACAAAAGACACGTCCAGCCAGCAGAGTATTGGGAACCCAAAACGAGATATTACTATAACGCTAATTCCGAAGGAAATTTCATGAAAGCTAGAGGAACCTGGTACACAACTTAAGAATGCACTCATAGTTTAAAACTGGAGACCCTGAGCCATCTCCACGCTACAGAAAAATAGAAGCTATCGTCATAGTATTGTATAGTGTAGCATAGAAAGATCAAAGGGTACCCTCATATTAAACGACTTGATAACACAAGATTACCTCTATAGTACGACATTTGAGGACTCAAGAGTACCCGTATTGTATAGAACATGGGGACCTGAGGGTACCCATGAGTACACCCATAGTATAGGATACGAGGACCCAAAGCTACTCCTATAGAATAGGATATCAGGACTCAAGGGTACCTTCATAGTATAGAGTAGGAGAACGCAAGGTTACCTTTATGAGACACTGTTTCAGGACGTGGTTGCTCTCATGACACTGACTTTAGCAGTAGATGTAGCAGAAAAAAAATGTTTTGTTGAAAATCAATGTGCTCCCCTCAAGGCTCGAAGAGTCATTTATTAGGATTTTTAGGATTTCTCGGCCGATCCTGCTCCTCTCCGAACTCGACCGAGATATCAATGAGACAATATTACGGATAAAATTTTGGGTTTGCATGCATGTAGTTTTCAAGGGTTATAGCGTAAACGGACGGACGGACATACTGACCGGTCCTAGTAGTATACTCACTTTTGGAGTACATAAAAAACATATTGATGTGTAAATTTGCTTTTGAAATGCATTCGATAAACTTTCGAAAGGTAGAAGTAATTTTGTTTTGTTTTCTGTAAAAGTTATTTTGAAGGAATGATTATATATAGAATCGCTCAATCGGAGAATATATTTCTTAATTAAACGATTGAAAATAATCCTCGATCGAATACAAGGCGGAAACGACTGATTCCTGGGATTCGAAATCCCTGGGAGCACAGCAGTAGTCCAGAGACTTCTGAAAGTAAGAAACGCGCCATTTACCCTTTCCATTCATGACTGTTCAAGAAAACAAAATAGTGATAAAAATATTGATAAATAATCTAGGCCTAATATAAGACAAGTAACGCTCATCCTTTGGATTCACTGGCCCTTTTCTGTAAGACTTCTCCTAATGCTGAACACATTCAGAGTCTTTAAAAGAGAAAAAACTCACTGCTATTGCTACTAGCGCTCAACTAGATCATGGCACTATATCACACGCTAGAACTAGAATGAATAGGATACAGAGCTCTTTTTAGGAATCAGACCGATTAGCCATTTGTCCGTGGATAATTCTCCAGCACTAACTATGTTGTCTGAAAAATTCATCGCTCAACGGCTAGTCAGACGGCCACTCACGGCCAACCGTTGACATTTGTCATCTGTTTTTCTATTTTCACATCACGCGCCATGAGTTGCCTAATTCGACTTCTATTATAAATGGACATCTGATAGACTAATCTCAGTTCGAATATAAGTAGATATATATCTCTATAAACCTAGGAGTTTAGGAATAGATTTAGTTGTACATGTGTATACCGATGGACATAGGCTGACATATAGCTCGACTGAAAGTATTCCTGAAACTATGTATAACAAAATCTATTTCTAAACGCACATGAAGGTGAGCTTAGACAGAGCTGAACCTATCCCTATCTATTCCTAACTGGCATGAGTGACTAGGCATAGTTAAATGTATCGCTATCTATTCGTAAGTATGTATAGGAGTGTATTCGGAATTCGTCACTTATATTATAAGTCGAATTAGGCAGCTACTCTTTAAAAGACAGATTTTTTGGTAATTCATAGATTATAAATTAATAAGAAGCAAAGACTAGGTTTTTCCTGTTATTTTTGTTGACAGAAAACTTTACCTATTTTTGGTCTTGTTGTTGTTTTTATTGTTATCGATGTTTCTTCTGTTGACATCTTTGTCACATTTTTCTTGTTGCGTATTACAATAATTGTTGGAACAAGAACGGTGATTGCAAAAATCAAAATAATTATAAACATAGTTAATATCAACCATTTTCGTTTTGTAGTTCGAATCTTTACATATCTGTAATCAGATATTGTTTGAAATTTTATCAATCATTTTATAGATACATACAGTACTGTTTGTTGCGGAAAACTTCTTATTTGAATATCATCATTGTCAGTTGATTGAAGCTGAAATAATTAAATAAAAATAAAAACTATTTTCATACCTGTCATGCAATAGATTTTACGTTGTTAACTTGGCTGTCATCATTATTCATTGTCGATGTTTGGTTCATCTTCGATACTATAATAAATTGTGAAGATGGAAAATCTAAAATAACACAATTTCATATACTAATAAGAGCTGAATGTGTCAGCTTTTGTGTGTATTTTTCTGCGCGTCTAATTGAGGTAGATTGGACAAAGTCTGAAATATCTCTCTCTGCCTCTATTTGTGATTAAATGATATAGGTTCAATATTGAAACAAGTACAACATCAATAGTTGATTTCCTTTTTGATATCACTATTTGGAATAAAATCATGACACATGTTAGTTATAATTTATTGTCAGCAGAAAAAAATTCAAGAAACGTTGAAAGATGCTACGTCAACGAGTTAGAAGCAGTGTTTCAAATGAACATTAAACAGTACAAAACAATTTTCCTATAATCGTTTCATTAAAAAAAGTAAAGAGTGAAGCGATTTCATTGAATACAAATCTGTTTTAATTAGAATTTGGTAGTAGTTCTATCTAATAATAAATAGAACTCGAAGTAACTAAATAAAGATATTCGCGACGATTTCTGATGGAAGAGATGTGTGTCTTGACGGAATCACGTCTTTCTTTATTTCTTTCTATCGTCAATCGCATCTGCTACGTACAAAAAACGCACACATATATATGTACAACCAGAATAAAGAGAGTGAGAAAGCAAATTCATGACAAAGAACGAGAGAGAGAGAGAGAGAGACTGGGGGAAAGAAAACAACTAAAGAAAATGTATAGAACGATGTTATTACCAGTATCGTTACAATATTATTCTAACTAATTCTGAGAAGACTCAAAAGCAACTTTTTTATGAAACTTTTCATATGATTATAAAATATTTCTAGTATTGATATACGTAGATACAAATTGATTAAATTGGATGAAGTTTATGTTTCGATTGACAATATTATCTTTCGTATATTTCAAAAGATCCTGATTTTCAATGTATCTTTTTTTATTACTAATTATATTTCAATAGATACGATTACAACAGTCTACATCCGCTTCCTACTCAAAAGTTTTAGCTTTGAAATCGGAATATTTGTGTTTAGCGCAAGAATCAACATCCATCTGCTATTATTTATGTTTTAAACCAGCTGATTAAACAAAGGGAAATGCATTGTTTTTATTTAATTTGATAGTTATAGTTCGCAGACAGATCCAGGACATTACATTTCACAATATAATCGAAACTATTGATGACAATAAAAGTATAAATTGCCTTTCGTAAAGAATTTGACGGTGCGAGCGAGTCAAGCATATAACAATGCGCTTTGATCCTTGCCCAAGGGATCATCATCAGGTAACTTTGAGTTTTTCATTGTACTTTTTTATTGCCTGGAAAATCCGAGCGGTTTAGATAAATTGCACTTATGAGACACTGAACGAAAAGGACAACGAATTTCTCAGTATAGCTGCTCAATCAAAGTTTGCAGATTAAGATGGGACTTGTCCATCTGTAGAGGATATTTGTGGAGCATAAAACGAAATTTTTACCCCTAAAGCTTGAAATTCGGCTGAAATACGAACTATCGACTGAAAGCACTCAAAACGCTCTTTTCTCGGTTTTTCACTTTTTTTGGCTGATCATTTATCAGCAGTATCTTTACAATATCCTCTCACCAAAATACCATAGTAACCTAAAATTTTTACCAAAGATAGAACTCAACATGAGAAATATGATGATACTATTTTATAAGGGATATGTTGTGGAAAAGTGATATTCCCAATTCTAGTGGTTGTTTCAATATAGACTCACAAGAAGTTTATTTTGTGAATTGGATTTCTTCCAATTAGTTCGAGCGATTTCGCTCAAACTTTTTTCATAAAAACTACTATCTTAGTACTGCTACTGGTTTACATAGCTCAGTTCAAGTTCAGGATCGTTCTGTTATATTTGAGTTATGGATGGAGAAATGAAAAGAAAGAGAGGCGAGTTCGATTCAGTTAAAACATAACTGTGTTTTCTTTTTATTCAACCACAAATATACGAATAACAACAAAGAAAATAACGAGAATAGATGGCATGATATTTCATATCATAACGCCCTTGCCCTAGCAAGAAAAGCTAAAGATAACAAGAAAAAAAATGTATTTTAACATTTCATACTATCACAATGAGATGAGGAGAGAAAGACAACATAAGTGATCATCACAAAAATTACTATAAGATAAAGAAAAGAAAGAAAAAAGAGGACCAAGAACAGAAAAAAGAAAAAGAAAAAGAAAAAGACAAATGAATAAATAAATGTTCATCTTTTGAATCACCAATAATTCTTCTTGTCGAAACAATACGATGGTAAAAAATCTTCATATTGTTTCCGATGTTGATCACTTTTAATTCCGATAACGACTCAGTCACCTTGAAATTTGACATGACGAAACACTACGCCATAATAACGAAGAATTTTCCGGATCAATCTCAATCTAAGACGACGATAATATGCCCAGGTCAACAAATCCGATGCTGGATCCGATCGGATCTTACCGGATCCGACCATTCGACAAAATCCGATCGGATTCCTGGAAACGGAATTGCATTGGAATCCGACTAGAAAAATCCCGTCGTTTGTTGCAAATTTTATGAGCAATCTTTCTAGCTATATTCTATGATGACCTTTAGAAAATCCAGGAAATCCATGTTTCGGATCTGACGAGATCCGACGTGGGATCCGATCGGATCCGAGACCGTCGAATTCCTGTAGGATCTGATAAAATTCTGTATTGGATCCGATGGGATTCGATGGGATCCGAGTATGGGATTGTTCGACCTGGGACCATTTGATTATAAAGTTTTGCTGATGAAACCATCGAAATCTCAAGTTACCGAAATGGAAAGATTGGATCAGCTGTTTTTGAATACACGATCATGACTTCCGGAATGGTTTCAATGAATTATCTATAAGAATACACTATCTTTTATTTCTATGTAATTTTATTATAAGATCATTTATCTTTCATTAATTGAAGTAATTTCTACATTTTAATATTCTTTAAGATAAGATGGTGTCACTTTCAGATTATGTAGGGGATATTTACCTAGATATTGTTTTTCTCTGTTGATTTTTCTTTGTTTTAATTGAATATCAAATAAATTTCTGTTATGAAGTTGATTAGCGAAATTTTGAAACGAACCTTCTCAACTTTTATTTGGATTACAATGCTTTTTTTAAATACCTACGATATGACTTCTCTGATGACAATGTGAATAAGAACTATGACGAGTACATAATAATAATAATAGAATTCAAAATATTATGAATAATTTCAGCAAAAGAAATATTTTACTGTTAATCATTCAGTCGAAGGTTAAGCGAGTCTGCCTCGACGAGCGTTACTAGTAACAATTCTTGCCAATATACCGAATGGGATTCGTTGTACTTGGTACACAATATGAAGAAACTCTTGGAAAATTGGCTGTGGAATGGATACAATTTTCCAGAGAAACATTTCTCTACATAAACGTCCACTATGTATGTTTGTAGGGCGAAATGCAAACGAGCGTTATATTTGTGAATCAAAAACGGAGAAAGGAGGATTTTTCCAAACGTGGTGGTATTGTAAGAAGACAAGTTGTCGAACTACAGAGCCAAAATGGTACGCCATGTATGAAGAATGTGCTGAAACGTACGAAAAACAATGCATTGCAGAATATCTCTCTCTCTTCACTCCACAGGATGTGGGTAAATAGAAAAGACAACCACCCACACCCTCACCCAAAAAGAGAGCAGAAAAAAATGAATGAGTCATACAAACATCTACTCCATCACATACGACATCCATCGAAATATGTTTCTAATCACAAACAAAAATGAATAAATCATGGCCTCAAGTTTCGTTCACTTCTGACGAGCGAATTTCCCAACAATTACATCTCTTCTTTCTGATTGGTTAGAAAAACAATGAGTCATTGTTATACCAGTTACATCAGAGTATATTTATTTCTGATAACATTTCACAAGCTAAATGAATTCCGGTGTTCCGTTAATCATTGGCCTTTTCTTATTATTCACTCCTAAATCATTTTGTTTAAATGTTTTATTAACTAGTATCGGCCATGCTGGTCATGTTACACCTATATTCGAATTAGCAAAATCATTGGAACATCATAATATTACATTTGTAACTCAACCATTAGCTCAATCTTACGTTAATTTCAATTATTTTTCTAAGACATCTTCATTTCGTCTTATTTACACGAATGATTCAATCGATGCATTTATAGCTGAAAAACAAAAAGAACAACAACTTATTGACTTCGCTGCTAATCATGGATTTTTCGATAACATGGGTTATACAACAGAACTATTGAATGGCGATGTCAATTCTCTATACAATAAAATAATCCATCTTTTAATGAATGAAAAATTTGATGTTATTATTGCGAATTCATTAATCAAAGGCATTCATGCCCTATCCAAACAAGCAAACACATCTTGTGTCGTACAGAGTACAGAATCCATTCCAAATATGTTGGATTTTAACCTACCAAATATATTTTCATTATTATCAAAAGAACAAATGACTCGAATCAAATATCGTATCTATAATGTCATCTACACTCTACGACTTGGAATAATTTTAATAACAAAGATCTTACCAACAGCTGGAAAGATTAGTAAATCTCTTCCACAAGTTCCAGGACCATTTTACGATAGTCTTTCGTTGAAAAATATTCTATTAACTGAAACACAATGTTTAGAGCTTTTCAATATCCCACCCACATTCTACACACAATCGTATACAAATCATTATACGAAATATCTTGGAGCATTTATAGATGAACAAGGTATTGAATATACCGAGAATGAATTGAGTACATGGGTTAGATCAAAAGCAAATAAGTCGATTATATATGCTGCTTTTGGTACCAGTTCATTGATTAAATTTAATCGAATGCAAAATTTAATCAATGGCTTAGCGGAATTTTTGCTTAAAAATCCGAATTGTTTTCTGTTATTAGTACTTCGTGGAATAAACTATGAATCATATCAAATGGTACTCAATGAAATGAAGAATGAAGAATATCAAAATATCTTCAAAGATTCACAACGTGTTCGAATCGAAACTGGATTTGTTCAACAAAAATGGATTTTACAAGAAAATTCAATCAAATTATTTCTCAGTCATTGTGGTATGGGTTCATGTTCAGAAGGAATTTATTTCCAAAAACCCATCTTGTGCATGCCATTTAATATGGATCAATTTATCAATGGAAATTCAATTGTTCAATTAGGAATTGGATTGTCATTGTTTATCCCTCCTTCGCTATTTCAATCATTACTTCGACCGTATGATTTTTATGATTACAATTTTACTTCTGATAGTGTAACAAGGAAATTATCAGAAATATGGGAGAACAGTAATTATCAACATATGATTAGAATTATGTCACTTGAAATGAAACATGCTGGTGGTGTAAAACAAGCAGTGAAAGAAATTGAATTTCTGGTTAATTTAAACGGAAACTTAGATCGTTATGCACCGTTTCAAAGTACATTAGTATTCTATCAGAGATATCTACTAGATTTGATAATCATAATCATCATATTACCTATGACAATTGTCGTTTATGGACTTATCAAATGTTGTAAACGACGTCAAAAAGAAAAACGTGATTAATCAATCAATCAAAAGTTTCAGATATAGAACTAAAGTTAAATTACACTGTAATAAATTTTATTTTTCATGCGTTTATTTTCTCCTCAGCTCGATGAGTCCTTGATAACTGCCTTAAATTTTCGAGACAGAAATTTATGATTTATAAATCCGATTTATTTATATTGATTTATAAATGGACCTATTTCGAACTCTTCAATGCTCAGCACATTCACGTACAGCATTACGCACACATATCCATGCATTAATTTTCAGTCAAGGCCTACCAAGTATTTTCTTAACTCTCAATCCGGCTGATATTCATAGTCCCGTCGCATCATATTTTGCCGGCGTCAAACTTGATCTAGACAATGTTCAAGCGGAACAGCTTATGGATACATACAGACGTGCCGAAATCATAGCTTCTCATCCTGTTGCTACAGCGAAACTCTTTCATACGTTGATTTCCAATATCTTAGATACAATGATTATGGGTGGTGTACTCGGTCCTGTAAAAGCTTACTTTGGCACTGTTGAAAGTCAACGCCGCGGCTCGCTTCATTTACATCTCTTAATTCGGCTCGATATCAAGATCAAACCAACTGATATGAAGGAAAAGGTGCAAGATTCAGATTTTCGTGAAAGACTTATCGCATACTTGGAAGATATTATCAAAGAAGACCTAGATGGCTTCAAAGACATAAAAATTCAAGTCCCATCCAGTAATAACACTCCTTCCTTCTTTTATTATCAGAATCATTCTTTCTTGCTTTCTTCTAGCTCCATCAGCATCCGATCATTCACCACAACTAGCAACAGATNAAGGCAGTTAACAAGGACTCATCGAGCTGAGGAGAAAATAAACGCAGATCATTCTTATTCTAGAGATGAATGTTGAGGATACTCAACCAAAAATATTTCCGGCCTGCTTACCTACTCCAAATCCATCGCTTTCTAATTTCAAATCGAGATTTCGTGCTGATGTGGTACTACTAGTTAAAGCACAGAACACTCACATTCACACTGATACATGTTACAAATACTGTGACCTTATCTATAACGGCAAACGAGTTTGTCGAATGCGTTTGCCACGCAAATTAGTGCCAAAGTCGATAATTGATCCTGAAACTGGGGATATACGTATGCGACGATCGCATCCGATGATCAATAATTATAATGAATATATCATATCAGCATGTCGTTCTAATATGGACATCAAGTTTATTTGGACAGGCAGCGATGTCAAAGCTCTTGTCTATTATATTACAGATTATGTGATAAAATCCAGTCTTTCTTTTCACGACACATTTTCTCTTATTCAGAAAAATGTTGCATCATTCCAGTGGCGTAACCAGGATTTTTTGACGACTGGGCAAATTTTGCTTATGAGTAAAAAAATGTTGGGCAAGAGCGGGCAAGATTTTTGTCGCCAGGCCAAAACTTTCTAACTTTATAAGAGTTTAATACATAAAAAACACGACAATAGAAAATGAATGTTTTTGACTATTTTATCATACAAAAAAGAAAAAAGTTCATTATGTCGTATTGTTTTTTCCATAGTAATGTACTGA